TGCGCCCCCCGGGCGGCCCGCAGCTCCCCGTTCTCCCGCTCCAGCTGCTCCAGGCGCTGCTGAAGCTGCTTCTCCCGCACCTCCAGCTGCTCCAGCTCCAGCCGCATCTCGTCAAAGCCCTCCAGCGCCTCGTTGTTTACCTGGCTGCTGAGGTCCAAGCTGGAAGCCATATCCTGAGTCTGGGGGGGGGGGGGGGAGGGGAGGAAGGGGACAGGAACAGCAGGGACAACAAAAAGACAAGTAGCTTTTGAGATGAAGGACCTAACCCGGCTGCTTGGAGCAGCACGATTCAAAACGCACGGAGCCCACCCCCCACCCCCACCCCCGGCCTAGGGTGGAGTCTAACGAGCTAGCCCAAGGTCTAGAACCCGTTGTTCAAAGCATGGGCCCCAGGTCAGGAGCGCAGTTCAAGGCCATGATGCGTGGGAACACCACTGAGATGTGTATTCTGCATGCCGCTTTTCCACCTTGCTTCCCGCAATGGACACTGGCTGCTAGATAAACTTGAGTGTAACCATGCTCCACACACACCGTGGCGCACCCGTGTATCATACGAAGCCACAAAATGAAGACTGGCCTATTTTCTACTTGAAATGTTGCTCTAGGTTGGTTATTTATTGTCTATTTTTTCTGAACTCTGGGCCTGGGCGCTGTCCCTCAGCTCTTCAGCTCAAGGCTGGCGCTTTACCACTTGAAACACAGCGCCACTTCCAGCTTTTTCTGCTTAAGTGGTGCTGAGGAATCGAACCCAGGGCCTCATGCATGAAAGGCAAGCACTCTACCACTGAGCCACCTTCCCAGCCCTTTTTTATTGTCTTTAAGTGCCAGTACTGGAGCTCCAACCGGGGCCTGGGCGCTGCCCCTGAGCTTCTGCGGCTCATAGCTAGTGTTATACCACTTGAACCATGGCTCCCCGTCCATCCTTGCAGTGGTTAGGAGATAAGAGCCTCATGGACCTTCCTGCCTGGGCTGGCTTCAAATCATGATGCTCCTGAGCAGCAAGGGTTACAGATCTCAGCTCCTTACTGGCTGAGTGACCCATTTCCACAAAGCTTTAGAGAGCGGCGATACGTCAGTCAAATACTGCTACCTATGACTTCCTGACCTGCCCTTACACTCTGCTCACGCCTTCCCTTCCTCACAAGCGAGGATTTCAAGTGCTCCATCTCATGGAGGAGAGAGCTGAAGTTTAGGCGCCCTGTTGGCAGGGCCACGCACGATTTGACTTTTCTTCACTCCATCATGCTTAATTCCAGTGTTAAACTGCTACTTTTAAGATACCCGACAAAAATCTTCTTAAGACAATTTAGATTTAGGAGCTGGGAAGGTGGCTCAGTGGTAAAGTACTCGCCTAGCATGCATGAAGCCCTGGGTTCGATTCCTCAGCACCACAAACACAGAAAAAGCCGGAGGTGGCGCTGTGGCTCAAGTGGCAGAGCGCTAACCTAGAGCAAAAGCAGCTCAGGGACACTGCCAGGCCCTGAGTTCAAGCCCCAGGACTGGCACAAAAAACCAAAAACTAGATTTCAAGGAGTCTGGTTGGATTCTCTTTGGGTGAAGAAAAAAAGAAAACAAAAAACTAAATTCCAGAACGTGGTAGATGCAGCCCGAGGGGGGATGGTCCGTGCTCTGGTCTGAGCAATGGGTATGTGCAAACGGCTCCCCTGACTTGTGAGGGGCAAGGCCGTCCCGGGGTGGTCACAATAGCAAGGAAAGCCCCAGCCTTCCTGCCGTTACCTGCAAGTAGTTGCTCAGCAAACTGCTCATGCTGGAGCTTCGGCTCGGGGGTTTCCACATATAAGCAGAAGAGCTAGTGGCCAGCGTCCTCCTGTGCGGTGATAGAAGACACGTGTGTGTACATACATATGTACATGTGTCCGTATGCACATGGGTGTACATACGTATACACACCCATACATGATACACACAAAAATAACACTGCGTAATCTTTGTTAGATGAGGCTGGGCACTAGTGGCTCCCGCCTGTCATCCTAGCTACTCAGGACGCTGAGATGTGAGGATCACGGTTCAAAGCCACTCTAGGCAGGAAAGTCCGTGAGACTGTCATCTCCAAGAGACCACCAGACAACCAGAAGTGGTGCTGTGGCTCAAGTGACAAGTGCTCACCTTGAGGTGAAGAGAACAAGGACAGCGCCCAGGCCCAGCTCTAGCTCAAGGCCCACAACCAACAAAACAAACGAACTTCTTCAGCAACCTTTTACGGGGACAAATTCTAACTTTCACCCCCTTTGCCTGAAATGCCTCCATGATGGTCGACACAATTGGGCCCACGTTCTTCCTGTGGCTGCTGCCTCCAAGTTCCTTTAGGAAATGGAAACCGTGGGCCTCGCGCGGGCTTTTCCACGGACGCGCATGGCCTGGCCCATTTGGTTCAGCCGTGGAGCCCTCAGATGCTATCTTACCTTAAACCTCAACACGTCTGTGCCACCGGCATGAGCTGTGCTGAGTAAGCACAATTACGGCGGCGCCTGTGCAATCTTCACAACCACAAATGTCTCTTTCCTTTTTTTGGGGGGGGAGGGGGAAGGGGTTGGTGGTGGTAGTAAAGGCAAAGGGCCAGCCTCAGAGCTCAATCCTCCTATATATGGACCTCCTGCATAGCTGTAATGATAGCTGGATAATACCACCCCCATGTCCAACTTGCTTTGTGGAAAAGGGGCTAATTTTCTGCCATGGCTGGAATGATTTTTTGTTGTTTTTTTGTTTGTTTTTTGGGTCCGGTCGTGGGGCCTGAACTCTGGGCCTGGGCGCTGTCCCTCAGCTCTTTAGCTCGAGTAAGCTGAGATTACAGGAGTGAGCCATTGGGCCCAGCTATATATTTTATTTGGGGGGAGGGGTCAGTGGTAGGGCTTGAACTCTGGGCCTGGGTGCTGTGCTTCAGCTCTTCAGCTCCAGGTGAGCACTCTATCACTTGAGCCACAGGGCCACTTCCGGTTTTCTGAGTGGTTTAAGAGTCTTATGGAGTTTCTTGCGTGGGCTGGCTTTGAACCGTGATCCTCAGATCTCAGCCTCCTGGATAACTAGGATGACAGTTGGAGCCACCAGCGCCTCGTTTGGGGGGTATTTTGGTAAGTACCTGGCAAACGTCGGCCAAGCAGCATCTAAGTCATAGCCTCTGGAGGCCAGGTCAAACTGAACCTCGGTCAGCTCATAGAGTTGGCCCACGATGTCGGAGCTCAGCTTGGGCTTCAGAAAAGGGCTTCGTGCATAGTACCAGTCACTGTGGAGAGAAACAGAAAAGGTGTGAACAAGGATTTTAATGAAAGGAATAAAGAGCTGGGCGCCGGTGGGTCACACCTGTCATCCTAGCTACTCAGGAGGCTGAGATCTGAGGATCGCAGTTCAAAGCCACGCCTGAGCAGGAAAGTCTGTGAGACTCTTATCTCCAGTGAACCTCCAGAAAACCAGAAATGACACTGTGGCTCAAGTGATAGAGCGCTCACTCACCTTGAACTGAAGAGCTCAGGGACAGTGCCCAGGCCCAGAGTTCAAGCCCCACAACTGACAAAAAAAAAATAAAGGAATAAAGGAAGCATGAATCTGACCAGTCAGTTAACAGGTGTTAACCCACTACAGTAAATTAACAAGAGACAAACCAGCCGATTTCATTTTTGCTGTAGATAAATAGGATGCTCGAGTCGGCTTGCTCTTCTTGGAAAATGACTGCAGGGATCTTCACGCTTGCTCGTTTATTATTTCTATTAAATATCTTTCCCAAAAAGCATGTGAGGAACCTTCAACCTCCAGGGATTGCCAAGAAAAGGAAATTGTTGGGGACAGGACACTTGGTTTTTGAAGGACAAACTCATCTTCTATTCCTATCCCAGAATTCAGCAGGAGACACCGAGCATCCTATTAAATTTCTGTTCAGCCAGCCACTTAAAACCTAACGAACTACCCGGAAATGTTACTTCATTTCACATGAAGCAATAGAAATTGTAAAAGGGAAGCTGGGTGCTGGTGGCTCACACCTGTAATCCTACTTACTAAGGAGGCTGAGATCTGAGAATCTCAGTTCAAAGCCAGCCTGGGCAGAGAAATCTGAGCTGGTCTATCTCTAATTAGCCACCAGAGAGCTGGAAGTGGTGCTGTGGCTCAAGTGGTACAGCGCTCGCCTTGAACTGAAGAGCTGAGGGACAGCGCCTAGGCCCAAGCCCCATGACCGACAAAAAAAAAAAAAGGTAGCATCGATGAGGCTTAAGAAGCACTAGGCTGATTTTGTGGGTGCTGAAGTCCAGCTGCTTATAATGGCGAGCCCCAAACATCCAAGCAAAACACCTTCCCACCACAGAGACGGGCAGCGTTTCATGACACAAAATCCATCCAAAAGGTGCCAACATGAAACACGGCCTTTTCCCGTTCGATCTTCCTTCTTTGGAGGTCAAAACTGGTTTCTTCAGATTAAGGAGACTGCTGGTAGGGAGGGGCGAGACAGAGCTGGGGCGCGCGCGGGCAAGCACGAAGGGGTCCCGTGGGTGAGTCCCAGACCCGCAGCTCCTCATCACTAGCAGCTTCCCTTCCTGGGCAGGCTGCCTCGCCGCTCTCCTCCTCCCCTTCTCCTTCCCAGCCTGACCCTGGCTGGTTGTCACCATCTCCGGGGAACCCAGCAGTCCTGGTGGCTGCCACCTGTGTGTCCGTGAGTGTGGCTGGCAGGTGGAGAATGACCTGACCTCAGGAGCTAAGCGATCTGGCTCTCACAACCGCCCATGAAGACACACTGCGCCACTCCACACTGAGGACGGCGGTGGGTGGGGTCAGGCCTCCACAGGCGCCTACCACGCCTGGCGCATGCGTCATCGTATCCCGGGGCGGGCCGCGCTGGGCCTTACCTGGTCACTTTAGTGTTCATGAAGCATTGCTGTAAGGTGTCTGCCAGCCTCTGGTGCACCAGCGAGTAGCGGATGAAGGCTCTTCCTCTCCCCAGAGACGTCCGGAGCTGGGGAAGCAGGCAGGCAGACAGACAGACAGAGGAAGAGCTCTAACACATGGCCTTCTGCCCTGGAAGGGCTCAGGGCTGGGTGTGGGACATGGTTAGCACACCAGCATGTTGACCAATATCCCTGAGACCATCCCCCCCACATCCTTCTCCATTCCCAATCCAAGTCTCCTGGCCAAGCTGTAGGGCCAGAGACTTGGGGGGGGGGGATGGGGGAGAGGTTGTGCTGGTCCTGGGGGACTTGAACTCAGGGCCTGGGCTCTGTCCCTTAAGCTTTTTCACTCGAGGCTGGCGCGCTACCATTTGGGCCACACCTCCGCTTCCTCCTTTTTTGGTGTGTCACTGGAGATAGAGAGTCTCACAGACTTCCCAGCCTGGGCTGGCTTCGGCCTGAGATCCTCAGCTCGCCGCCTCCTGAGCAGCTAGGGTGACAGGCCTGAGCCACGGGCATCCAGCTCTAAGGGGTCTTTGTGTTTGGGGGGGGGGTGGAGGCGTGGCGTGGGTGGCAGAGCGGCAGCCAAGGAGCAAAAGCAAGCGTCCCACAGCAAGTTTGAGTCCAGTCATCTTTTTGTTTCTTTAGGGCGAGATGGTCCGGGCCATAGGCCTCCGGGGAACGTGGGATGTAAGCACCGATCGTACTCCTAACATGGCCCCCCTGCAGGCCCCGGCTCACCTCCGAGATGGACTTGACGAAGCGGATCCCGTCATTGGCCCCTTTCACTTTGGCCAGGCAAGCACAGAAGTAGTCCCAGTAGTCTTTCTTGTGTCCCAAGAGGCTGGCCTTCTCCTTCTGGTCAAACTGAGGAGGCAATGGGGCGGAGGGAGGGAGGGAGGGAGGGAGGGAGGGAGGGAGGGAGGGAGGGAGGTCAAACCACTCTTCACCCGCCAATTCCACACACAGCAACAAGCCTTGCTTGTTAGGCATTAGCCTAGCCGAGGGGAGCCACTGATGGCCGTTGCTTGTATGCATTGGCAAGTTGGTATTGGTGCTTTGCTGGTGGGGCGTGGTTCGTTTGACTTTGGTGCTGGTACTGGGCTTCAAGCCCAGGGCCTCGTGCTCTCCCTTGGCTTTTTCCGCTCAGCGCTGGCACTCTACCGCCTAAGCCACAGCTCTGCTTCCAGCTCTTAGCTGGCTAATTGGAGCTACAAGTCCCATGGATTGTTCTCTCCTGGGCTGGCTTTCAACTACAGCTCTCAGATCTCAGCCTCCTGAGGCGTGAGGACTACAGATCGTGTGCCTCCAGCACAAACTAGTGTGTTCATCACAACACGAGCATGCTTCATTTCCAGTGTTTACAAGAGGCTAACTCTTGGGGGGGATATAGCTGCGAGATTTAGGAATAACAGCTGCCCCCCCCCCACCAAATGTCAGTCCCTGAAGGAACTTCCTTGCAGTTCTGTGGAAAGCCACTGCCAAGGCTGCAAATACATGATGAAGAAATGCAAGCAAAGCACGCAGCGTGCAGTGTGCGAACCAGGCTCGACTTGGGTGAAGAAGGCAATGACTTGGTCCACCAGTGACTCAACTCTCCAGCAGTAATAGATGCTATCTTAATAATTAACACTCCAAACCGCAAGCAAATGTCAGCGCTGAGTCATTTCCAACCCAAACCAAAATGGGCTTCGTTTGAAACAAAAACAACAGGAAAAAAATTATATATACATATACACACACACACACACACACATATATATATATATATACACACATATATACAGTGACGGCTGGACACCAGTGGCTCACGCCCAGCCTAGCTCCTCAGGAGGCTGAGATCTGAGGATCGATCGTGGTTCAAAGCCAGCCAAGGCAGGAAAGTCCATGGGACTCTTATCTCCAATAAGCCACCAGAAAACCTGAAGCGGCGCTGTGGCTCAGGTGGTAGAGTGCTGGCCTTGAGCTGAAGAGCTGAGGGACAGCGCCCAGGCCCAGAGTTCAAGCCCCACCCAGAGGCTCTGCTGAGCCTTCTGAATCGCATCCTGAATGTGGCCCCCAAAGCCTCTGCACGCCCGGCGACACTTACTTGCAGGAGATACTCGAGCTTGTAGGAAAACTTGTGCAAGCTGGTGCTGTCATCGGTGATGGGCTCTCCCACTTCCTTGAATTCGCTGCTCAGTTCGGTCACCGCATCTTTAAGATACATGGATGGGAACGCATCACTGCAGACGCAGGAGTCAGAGAAGACAGCAGGAAGATGCCAGATGCATGAGGAGGAAGAGGCCAGGGAAAGCCCTGCGCACGTCCAGCCACATTAAATATCCAGGTGCTTTCACTTCGGGGAAGAGTGTTAAGATGTTCTCAGGGCCGGGCGCCGCTGGCTCACGCCTGTCATCCTAGCTACTCAGGAGGCTGAGATCTAGAGGATCGCGGTTCAAAGCCAGCCCAGGCAAGAAAGTCCGAGAGACTTATCTCCAATGAACCACCAGAAAACTGGAAGTGGCGCTGTGGCTCAAGTGGTAGAAGACCAGTCTTCAGTGAAAAAGGATAAATGGAAGTGTGAGGCCTTGAGTTTGAAACCCAGTACTGGCACCAAAAACAAAAAGGGGGGGCTTTCAAGGCATCACCCTGTGAACATTTAAAATCCACTGATTGAAACAAATTCCAGGAAATGGAACATGGAGATTTTTTTTTTTTGTCGGTGGCAGTGATGAGAGTATTTGGTTTTGCTTTAGAGTTTTTGTTTTCTGTCTTTTAACGGGGGGACTAAGGGAGAATGCAAAAATGGAGGGCGAACACATGCAATCATGTGATCAGGGGACCCTTCCAGTGGAAAATGAACTGTGAAACTTGTGGGTGGAGAAACTGAGGGAAAGCGAAGGAAGGGGTGCCATTGTCTGGACTTACGAAACGGTCACCCCTCTGAACAACACCTGGATCAAATTCTACCTTAAAAACTACCCAAAAAAGTACTCTTGCAGAAAACAGACTACATGGCAAAGAACGGAGACTGCTGCTAGTCTATTGCTGTGTGATCTCCAGCTCGGCACCTACCCTCTCTGTGTCCTTTTCCTCATTTCCAAGCTGGGTCTCTAGCTCACAGGACCAGCTATTAGCGGGTGTCTTGTGCGTTGGTAATGCTAAGCAATCACAGACTCGGCATCCCCAATCCGAAAGCATAGCACGTGAACTCACAAAGTTGGGGCGGGTTCTGGCAGGTTTGCATTGCTGATTTCCAGATCAGGGTTGTTTTACCAGTGACATCTACGCGACTATTCCTACACGCCAAGACATCCACACGCAAAATGACCTGTGTAACTTGTGGGCAGACACAGGAGGGGGAAGGCTGGGGGACGGTGAAGGGAGGGGCGACATGGTCCCCACAAAGCAATGCACTCATTGTCTGACTTGTGCAATGAAACTTCTGTACACCGCCTTCCTGAGATTATGCTACTTTTGTAAACATCCAAACTGTGAAACTCCGAGGACCACGTGTCAGATAAGGGCCAGAGGAAGCCAGCCTGTGGCGGGACGAGGCCCAAGCCCAGACACCCTTGCGTCTGGGCGCGGCCTTTGGGCCACAGTGGAGGTGACATCAGAGTCTCGGCCAGCCTGGGGGGGGCGTGGTCAGCTTTGGCTTCTCTTACAGCCAATGAATGCGCTGGAATGCCTTTGTGGCCAGCCCTGGCCAGTGAGAAACTTCCTGAATGCGGCTCTTAGGGCATCCTAGGTGAAACCATCAGAGAAGCAACCTGTGTCTTCCGCCCCTGCCAGGCAGGCTTTGCCTGCAGCTCTGTGTGCATGCCCGGCCTTGCTTTTCTCAAACAAGACAAGGGTGTTAAAAACCGGGTGCCAGTGGCTCAGTCATCCTAGTTACTCAGGAGGCAAAGATCTGAGGATCGCGATTTGAGTCCAAGCCCCAGTACTGGCACACATACACAC